GTTTGTTGTTTACGTAAATTAATATCTGTTTTACGCTCTTCTTCATGGCCTTCCCAAGTATAATGAGCAGTTGCTACAAGTAATTGTCTTTGTTGTTCATTTTCGTTTGTAGATATTTTAATTGTTAATCGTACCCAAAACAAACGTCGCAATGGTTCCATTATACCAATATCAACCATTCCGTATTCTAACATATTGAACATGTTAGAATTCCAATATATATTACCTTCATATTGCCAACCGGGAAAATCATCTTGTATAAATGCATGAGTTGGTAATGCTTCTATAAGAGTATCATGTAATAATGGATGTAATTCCTGTATACATAGAATATCAGGTGTAAATGCTGTCATACATTCAATGATTGGTAAACGACGTTGTGGCCAATTTATGGGATAACCATCTGTTTTGCACATATTGAAAGTCATTACTGATATACGAGAGACATTCATTATTAGAGAATTGAAATAAGTTTCAATAGATATTCTATAATGTATAATGAAAGAGTTTTTTCAAAAAAAAAATATAGAAACTAGATACAATTATAAAGAAATCTTTGTCACAAGACAACGAATAACAGAATTGCATCTTTATCTTCAGTGGTAGACGAATGTAAATCAAGAACATATTCTGCACATGATGTATTATAGAAGCAAACAACGACAATGTAGAACAGATAAGAACCAAAAAAGAGATAAAGTATAAAAACAGTTCATACAGGGTGTTGCAAAACCTTAACGCTCCCCAGGTTCGACCTTGAGGTAAAATGATTCCACTAAGTATTTTATACCAAATTGAAGCCCGTAAAAAACTGCATTTATTGATACTAAATGATATAGGTTATGAAGACCTTTTAATGTCGAACTTCCGAGATTTTCAGCAATTTGATACCTTTTTTGATGTAGAAAAGTAAGATGCCAGTAATTCAAAAACGAAATAAAACGTTTTTCTTAGATATTTTTACATGATTCCATAGAGCTCGACAAAACTATACATTTCAAAAATACTTTGAGCCATCTTTTCCAGGTAAAAAGTTCAAAAAACTACACGGAAAATCCCAAAAAATGTAAAAAAGTTCATCTTCTTTTCATATGAGAAAAAAACATCTAATTTTTTCAATAAGATCAGTTTTTTTCATTAGTTATGTTAGCTCAGACATTTCGAAACGTCTGAGACAGCAAAAATAATAAAACTTAATTTAATTGAAAAATCGAGTGTTTTTCTTCCATATGAAAAAAGTAAAGTTTTCAAATATTTGTTGTGATTTTCCAAGCAGTTTTTGAACTTTTTACCTGGAATAGATGGCTCAAAGTATTTTTGAAATGTACAGTTTTGTCGAGCTCTATGGAATCATGTAAAAATATCTAAGAAAAACGTTTTATTTCGTTTTTGAATTACTGACACCTTACTTTTCTACATCAAAAAAGCTATCGAATTTCTGAAAATCTCGGAAATTCGACATTAAAAGGTCTTCATAACCTTTACCATTTAGTATCAATAAATGCAGTTTTTTACGGGCTTCAATTTGGTATAAAATACTTAGGGAAATCATTTTACCTCAAGGTCGAACCTGGGGAGGGAGCCCAAAAGGGTTTGCAACACCCTGATGATGAAGGATCATTTGGATGTCGTTTTCAACGACAAATTACAGATCTTATTCTTGTATTCAAAAATTCTATTTATGATACTTTAGCACATTATTCATTAGATGCATCTAGATGTATTATGGAATTCTCCGGAAATCTAAAACATTTATCTATTATTGGATCATTTCGTTGCGTTTTTTCAAGTTTAATATGTTACAATTCTTTACCCTCAGTCAACTTCTCCTCTTCAACTTTTAACAAACCACATATCCATGTGATAAGTTATACAGACTGTCTTGCTCTACTTGGTAGTTGTTTCAAACAATTAAAAACCTTGATTATTGATATTATTGATATGAGACCACATTCATCGAATATATACAATATGGTAAGTTTACATTTTATTAAATTAATCTTTTCAACTTGTATTGATTAGAGTAGTAATTATTTTCATATTATCATAGATAAACTTTTTTTGTGAAAGAATTACTGTTAAAATCATATTTTCTTAATGATGAACTATTTTGTGAGTATAAGTTAGTTTGACAAAGTAAAGCAAAACAATTGAATTTTTGTTTTAACAAAATTAACTGTTGAGTTTTAAATCTATTGATCATGTAATTATCTACTCAAAACGAGATGTTTTAAAAATAAGATTAAAAATATTTATTTTCTAGAGATTTTAAAAACATATCTTATTGTTCGTTCTCAGCTAGAAACAAATTTTATTATCTTATAATAATTTGAAAAACTACAGAAATATTAAGGATAATAGTGAAAGAAAAGAGTTCATGAAGTCTAGTTGAAAATAGGTAAAAACTAGATGCAACTAACTTTTACTTGTTGTGAATTGATAAATTTTCGGTGAAGATTTTAATGTCAGGAAAATTGCTTTGATTCATCAGTTTATCTTGATGTTCATTACTTTTTATTTGCTGAAAATTTAGATATACAAAATAATTAGCTTAGTTATCATTGCAGAAGAGTCTACTTATATAATAGATATGATAATTGAAAAACTACCACTTTTTCGTCGTATGAGAAATCTTGAAGAAATAACTTTGTATCTTAATATCATCATGGAAGCGGCATTTATTGATGGTACTCAAATTTATAATAACATTCTTGTTCATGTGCCATAACTTCATATATTCAACTTTTGTATTTGTCCTATACTTAATATAGATCATTTAGTTCATCATTTCTCTTAAGATGATATTCAAAGAACTTTTTCTTACACAATATATCAAAAAATCGATTGTATGGTACAAAATGGATGTCGTAACGCAATATGTCATGTCTTTTCAGACAGTGTGAGATATGGTTCCATTCGAACATGAATTTTTCATTCGAATTGGTTCGCCTTTTCCTTTACTTGAACATTTATATGTTTTTAATATGAATTCTCAGTCACAAATATCACGCAAATTAAACTTTGAGGGTATGTGGGTATGGATATTAGTCTTTTTTTTATCCACATCCTTCTGATTCGCCGGGATCTTCGTGTAGTCGTCTTCTGCAAGTTCTTTCAATCTTAATGTTCTTTTGACCTGAATATTTTTTTGAACTGCCCCAAAAACACCTACCTACTGACGTCACAAACTCGTTTTAGTTTTTTTCGTATGACCCTATTTAGCTGCATACAATCGTAGTTCTATTAAACATTTGATCATAAATGATCGTTTTCCCATTCTGGTTATTGAATAGTTTATTATATTGTCTTCCTCGATTTTGTCATTTATTGATTAATTATCTTGTTGAATCTAGTCGTACAGAAATGAATAACAAATTATCTTTGATTGAATTAAAATATTTTTCTCTTAAACTTGATGATTCCACTCGTTTTGATGATTTTGAAAAGCTAACAGAAACATTTTTTTCATCATATTCAACCTTTACATCTTACAACAAACAGTGATGAACAATATTTAAATGATTAACGATGAGAAAAATTAATAGTATCTTCTATGTCATATTTAAATATTTTTGATATTAATCATCAAGATTTTATGCGTGTTAATAATTTCATTTATCACTATATAATTAATCAATTTAATTCTTTGTTTTGGATTGAAAAACAATGATTTTTTTAAACATAAATATGACTGAGAAGAAAATTTTGATATTGAAATTCTTTATTCAACAGATCAATATCAGTAAAAGAACTTTAATATTAGTATTTTTATTTTGTTTGCTCTCTCTTTTAGAAGACAAGAATATAAATTTCATTGGGAATTCGAAAATCAAATTTGTCCAAATATTCAAGAAACGAGATTAAATTCAGTTAAACATCTTTTGATTTGTGGTAAACAAGTAGCAAATAATAGTGTTAATTATTTTCCAAATGTTACTCAATTGACTATTGAACATTATTTCAAAACATCTGATGATTTGATCTCACTTAAGTTGAATTTATTAAAATTAGATTCATCACCATTGGATGAAATTCTTATAATATCAATTGAAACAAGTAAAACTTTCAAAAATGTGTTAAATACAAATACAATAAAAAATCTCGATATTCGTATTGAATGTTCATTTAAAAAATTCAAATGATTGTTAATTTATTTCTAAAAGTAGAATATCTCAAAACTGGCATGAAGAGAAAAGAAATTGAAGACATAATTCGATTTTTATTAATAAAACCTAATGATCAAAATTCAAAACTTTTTTTTAAAATGTATATCAAAAACATATAGTATGTGTTTAGAAGAAATAAATGTTTTAATCGAATCGGAAATCTTACTTGATAATTATTTTATTAAATATGTTGACGATGATGATTTATATATATGCTAGTAAAAATATAGTTGTTTAGAATATTTTTTAATTTTTGTATATAATTTGTAATTACTTTGAATTAAATCAACTAGAGGCTCTAACTTTACATAAATACCTTTTTTATTTAATAAATCAGTACAATATATGTAAAGTTATGATAAATATTAAAAGATACACATGACAAATTTTACTATAAATAGAATGATGTAAGTTTTGAAACTTGGCAGAAATGAATTTATTTGTAATATATGTTAATAAGTTATAACATGTCATTTAATCTTTTATTTTAGAGTTCAACCTGTCAAAATACAAGTGCTGGAGAGTATATGTAAAAGTTATACAGTTACAATCATCTTCTATTTTGTACGACTATCTGATTGATTCATTCAGACATTAAGAAAACTGTATGAGGATATTCATAAAAGACATTGGATAAAAGTAGGTACTCAATAGATATCCCTAATGAAACATCTTGTAAGCAAGATCGTGAATCCGATCTTGAGTACAGATATGTAAGATCTTGGGTACATACTAAGATAAAACGTGTTGCATGCGTCGTTATTTACGACACAATCCATAATACATGCTGAAAGCGTGGTTCGAATCTATCAAATAGAGCATTTATTAATCTTTTCTTTCTCTAAAGCAATGTAATGACATTTTTTCAATTTATTTTCATTTTAATTGTTCATATCCAAAATAGCTGAAGCAAGTCAGATCTTGAGATGGTTCGATCTTCATCAGACTGTTTTAGGGTAGTCCTCTCTCAATCATCGATCGAGATTAGTATGTTCTCGAATGATCAACACTCGAGAAATAGTTTTTAAAAAAAACTATGTTGTATGGTCAATCACGTTGTTTATATATGGTTCTATCTGTATTAAAAAACAGTGAATGACTAGTCAGCCTGTAAACACTAATGATGTCGTTCTTTTACTCAAAATCTTGTGAGAAGATAATAGAAAACGATATCTATTCTATGATCTTGACAAGACGTTAAGTACAGATTTATCCGATACGACTAAGATATTCACATACAAATTATCTTTTCAAGATCTTGCTTACAAGATGTTCGACTAGGATACGGACAACCTCAATAAGAAAAAAAAACAACTATGAATTATTCAAGTTTATTTCCGACTGATTAATTTTATTATTATTATTTTAGCTATTTATGATTTAAGAAGATTTTTCAATTAAAGAGAACTTTTCATAGTTTCAAAAAAAGAAACGTTAATTGCATCTTCATTTATTCGGAGAATTAAAACTACCCTCAATCAAAACTTAGGCTTTTGAAAGCTGTTTATGTTTATGGGATACTTAAAATCTGAGAATTCTGACAATCATTATCAGTATGTAATTATTTACCTGTCGTGAAGCGAAAATAATCTTTATATTGTTGTATCCAATCTTAAAAAGAATAAATTTTTTCTAAATTTTTTCAAAAAAAAAAAATTAGTACATCCTCAGAATTTCTGATTTTCCAGCCTTTTCGAATAATGACAATAATAAGAACTTCTGATTATTGAATTTTGAGCGTCCTTGATGGATACTCTCTATTAGTGAGTCAATTTTCTTTCCAGTACGAATATTCTTATCTCTATTATGTTCATTGCCTATAGAGAAGAAAACGACACGACATATTTGTTTTTCCACGTGCTTATCCATTTGTTTTCAGTTTGAAAACAATTTTTTCTCGATCAGTATCTCCTTAATTTATCCATCATAAACATGAAACGGGCACAAAACGATAAAATTGAAAATTTTAATAATTGTAATAAAAAACCAAAATTAGAAAATCAAAGTAAGATTTTATAATTCTACCTAACAAATTTCATTTTCTCGTTTTTATTAGTAACAATAGTCAGTGATAATAAGTAAGTTATTCAATATTTATTTGGTCATATAGCATTTATTCTTTATTTAATTTAGATCTTGTCTTGAGAATTTAACAGATGAAATTCTTTTTGAAATATTTAATTATCTTGATACATATTATATTTATAAAGGATTTTATCATCTTAATAAACGATTTAAAAATATATTTATTAATTCAAATATTTCAGAGATAATTAATATTTTACCAATGTCAAAATTGAATTTCGAAAATTATTATATAAATATTATTTTACCAAATAGAAATCGAATTAATTTACTTCGTTTAACAAATCCATTTACTCTTGATGCTATTTTTTCACCACCAAGTATTATTTTAGAATTTATTCGTCTTGAAATATTAATTCTTGACAATATACAATCAAAGAATCTTAGTAAATTTTTTTATTGTCTAAGATCTTTAACTAAATTTCATTCATTAACTCTTTCTCTTGCTGATAATATTGAATTTTTAAATGATATTTTTTCTAATGTACTTTCATTATCAAAATTAAAATATTGTAAAATTATCTATCAAACAAAAAATGATGAAACACCATTTTCTCCTTTTCTTACTATTTATGATCGTAGTCCAATTGAATATTTGATTATTGATGGTTGTTTTCCATTTGATTCATTAAATAATTTATTATGTTGTCTTCCAAGACTTCGTCATTTATCAATGAATTCTTTTCGTAAATCCAGTTTTAGAGATTTAGATGAAGATCTACCTTTAATTGAATTAAAATATTTAAAATATGTTTCTCTTAAATTTAATTATTTTATTTGTTATAATGATTTTGAAAATCTAGCAAAAAAATTTTTTTATCATGTTCAAACTTTACGTCTGACAACAACCGGTGATGAAGAATATTTAAATGCTAAACGATGGAAAAAATTAATATTATCTTCTATGCCATATTTAAATATTTTTGATATTAATCATGATGGTTCAATACGAAATAATAATTTTACATATCATGATATAATAAATCGATTTAATTCTTCATTTTGGCTTGAAAATGAATGGTTTTTTACACATCGACATGAATGGCCTGAGAGATTAGATTGTGGAATTTTTTATTCAACAAATCAATATCGGTAAAAGAATTTTAATATTAATATTTTTTATCTTGTTTGTTCTCTCTTTTAGAAGACAAGAATATAAATTTCATTGGGAATTCGAAAATCAAATTTGTCCAAATATTCAAGAAACAAGATTAAATTCAGTTAAACATCTTTTAATTTGTGGTAAACAAGTAGCAAATAATAGTGTTAATTATTTTCCAAATGTTACTCAATTAACTATTGAACATTATTTCAAAACATCTTCTGATAATTCGATTTCAAAAATCCTTAATCGTTTAATTCCTTTAAAACAACTTACAAAATTAATTATTAAATCTTATGATTTTCCTTTTATAGTTATAGTGAAATTATTACATTGTACACCTAAGTTAACAACATTAAAATTCGATTCATTTGTATTAGATGAAATTAATATGAAATTATTTGAACAAAGTAAACTTTTTGAATATGTATCAAATATAAATACAATAAAAAATCTCGAAATTCGTAATGATTGTTTATTCAAACAAATTCAATTAATTGTTAATTTACTTCCAAAATTAGAATATTTTAAAAGTGGAATGAATCGAAAAGAAACTGGAAATATTATTCGATTTTTAATAACAAAACCTAATAATAAAATTCAAAATTTATTCTTTATATGTATTTCAGAAACACCAAAAATATGTTTAAGAGAAATAAATTTATTAATTAAATTAGAAAATTTACTTAATGATTATTTTATTAAATATGTTAATCGTGATTTATATTTATGGTGGTAAAATTTAATTGTTTAGGACTTCGTTTTTTTATTTTTCTGTATAATTTGTAATTACTTTGAAATAAATTAGAGATTCGAACTTTACAGATATATATTTTTTTTTATTTAAGAAATATGTAATTACAATAATGTAGAATAATAATAGATATTAAATAAATGAGTTGGAGAGAAGTTAGAAATAAAATAACATATATATATATATATATATAAATCGAATATAGCAAATTAATATTTACAGTTGTTTTTACGGAGAAATACCAACCCAATTGATATTCCATTGATATGTTGTGAGAGTGTGAGTCAACAGAAACAATTAACCTACACCTACAGAGCCATGATTTCTAGAATTCATGTTTTAGTGGATTGTAGCACTTACTCAAGACTATCAGATGGTAGTTTCCGAGTCGAAACAAAAAATATTTCCATTAAGATTTGAGCACACAAGTTGATTTTTTCGTCGATGATAGAGGCATGTTCGAGTCTTATATCCATAAAGATACGTCTAGAGAGACTCTTTGTTAAATGTGTCATTTCTCCGTCTATTTGAAAAAGTAAACGTTTTTTTGTTGAGATCAATACTAGGTACTCGAACTCAATATGTTATTTGAAAATATATTCAATAAAAAATTTCTTAGAAAAATCAAAGCTTAGATTTCAATCGAATGTGCATAATCTTGTTGACTTTGAATGTTTATGATTTGCTAAAAACAGAAGATAACAAACTGTAACTTGATGTCACATTTGTGGTTGATGGTTCACGTAAAACTTGATTAATTTTCACTTCAGGCATTGGTTCTGTTGTTGATTGAAAATATTTATTGAGAAATGTTTTCGTATGCATTAGAATGATTGACTCAGATATCGAATTATAATCATCGTTCGCTAACAATACGAGTTCTTTTTGGTTAGTGTGATTGAGTAAATTGAATAATATTGAAGAATATTCGAATGGAATTAAAGTGTCACGTTGTCCATGTATAAAAAAAGTATTGGACATGTAATGTGTTGCATTACCTCATTATTATCTCAAAATAACACCTTAAGTAAATTTGAAAAACTGCCAACTTTTTTCTCGAACTAAATTCCTAATTGATGTATATGAAGATTGAAGAACAAATCTATCGACTCAATGTTGCGAATGTCATATGCTTCGTACCAACATCCTCAGCATTACCATGACACCAGACGAGAAAGAATTGAGCTTCTTGTGGGTGTGGATGTATCGCGTGTAAAGATAATACGCACACCCTGTTTATGTTTCACATTTATTCTTTATAATTAGCACAATATTCTAGATATCTATTTTCATTTTGTATTATTTAACGGTGACAATACTTCTCGCAAAAACTATATTAAAAGCGACAAATAAACAAGAGTATCGGATAAGTATTATTTATGAGACTGCCAGTAGTAGAACAACTAGAATCAACCTAGTAGTGTAACATAACAATATTTTAATTCTCAAAAGAGTGAGCATATCGACACTAAATAGAAGATGTTATCATATAAATATAATTGGCATTCCTTCACGACATTCTAAATGGAAAATCTCCCTTTTATCATATAGGCATACATAATTGAAAACAGATTTTTTCCACTCAAAATATCTATCCACATATAAGAATTTTTCCCTATACACTACGCCTACACTTCATCGATAAGAGAAGCAGCATATAAAAGCTTGTTTTCATTCATAATTTTTATTAGCTACCTTCATCTCAATAGAATCAAGTCACCTTTTTCTTATTGATTCTGAAAATCTATACTTTTTATCTATGTCTGGAAGATGGAAAATATTTTTTCTATAATTCATCATACTTACTGAAAAAGCTCATGAAAGTCGGAAATAAATGCATTAATCATTTGATAATCATTTTAAATTTTGATATTAATTTCATTGTTTACAAAACTGTTATATTTGTCTTTTAAATAGATTTCTTGCGTTAGAATAAAGTTAATGAAATGAATACCTACTTGTGAAAATTAAAACAGCAAGAAAATTGATATTTTTTCATTATATTTGTCTATTTTTATTTTTATTACTCCTTCTTCTCATTGTTATAAGAAAAGAAAAATCGATTTATCTCATCATCACTATGACAGCAGTGGATAAATTAGATCAGTCGATGAGGGAAATTGTTCCACTTTATGGAGAAATGCTTCATCCCACATAAAGTCATACATATCAAGAAGAAATGGAAAGAAAGAATAAAAAAAAATATATATAAACATGATCTACGATATGATATTGCACGTTTACTGAAATTTAGATAGAAACAGAATATCATCTATATTTATTAGAAGATTTTCATCAAATAAAAAAAATTTGTTTATTTCCTTGCGAATATTTCCCGTTTCTTCTTCTTAGTATTAGAGAAGTAGATGAAGCATTTCACCTCATATTTTAATCATTTCAACTAGAAAAACTCATAACCGCTAGAAACCTTTCTAAAGACAAAAAAGCCTTATTCATAGCTTCCTGAATATTTTTCATTTCTTCCTTATAACAGATAAATCCATGAAATACTTCACTTGATATTTGAGTTATTTCTGCTAGACAATATTAATAGCTACTACAAGATCTTCTTCACCTAAAAAAAAAAGTAATTTTCTTCCTATTCATTTCGATATTTTTCATTCCTTCGTATTACTAGAGAAATGATATGGTTGAAGAATTTCTTCTTTAAAAAATAATCGCAGTGGTTTGCTCTGATAAAGGTTGGTTGTAGGAAAGATAGCGTTTCCCTTTGAGAGAGGGATACTTAATTTCTGACAATTTCTTATGATCAAAGCTGCAAATTTTACAGTTTATTTATGACTATTGGAGTAGTAAATCATTATTTATCATAGGTTAAGACCTTTTGTATTTATTGTTTGATGTATATAAGTGTCATAGGTGGGAATATTTGATAGTTTCCATGGATTGATATTGATTTGTCAATTGTTTATCTCTTTCTTTTTCTTCACTATCTTTTATGTGGATATACAAATAATTCTGTTCAAATATTATTATTCATCAATTATTTCTGATTTATTTTTCTTGTCTGTTCTGTCATAATGTAATAGGTAAAGACCTTTGATTATAGATTAGAATTCTTGAATAGTACTTCTTATAATTTATTCAAGATACGATATGAATTAGCGACAGAGAAAACAACAACGATGCGACCTTCGACTGTTGAGGATTTCAAGAGAAATTCGGAAGTACGAAGTGTAAGACGTAAACTTTTAATTGTTCTTTCAATTCTATTGGTATGAATAATTTCCTATTCAAAACCCTGCTGAATGACTGATCAATCTTGAATGATCACTATGTTTTTATTCTAGGTCTGCACAGTAATCCATCTTATTAAACAAATTACTTCTATCGATTCACGTAGTAGCATGCAGTATGAAAATGTTCAAATTAACACGACAGATGCATCCGCAAGTGCTATTATTAGCAGTAAATTGGCTGCTTTAATTTGATTATTTATCTTATTTTCTATTTTAGGTGCCATCTTAATGAATTATTTTATTATTTTTATTATAGTCGTGACTAAATATATTCGATTTGCCATTCTTATTGTAGATTCAGTTTGTTTTTTTTAATTTTATTAAATTAATTCTTGCTACTTTTCAGTTCGCTTGGTTAACTGTGATTCTAACAATTGGTGATCTTACCATAACTTTTCTTAGAAATCCCGAAGCAATTTCTCTTACCTCTGCAACAAATAATGGTGACATTGCTGCGACTGTCATAATGATCTTTATCATTGCACTTATTATAGCCGGTATACTCTTTGTAAGTATTCTTTTGTCTTTAGCATATTTATCTGATGTTTGACATATTTTATTTCAGATCTTGACAATTATCTTTTCCTTCAAATTAGCTAAATTGATCAAAATATCAGAAACTCTTGAAATCGTTTAAAACTACAATAATTCAAATATTGATCATGAACAATTTGTGCTTATATTCCTTACATTAAAAATTCTTATTTCGAGTTTATCAGTAGTTACAAAAATAACTATTAATCATTGAAGATAAATATAAATAAAATTTACTATACGCACCGGCACTTCATAAAAAGTTCGATTATCAAACTTTTTCTTCTATAACTTTTTTGATAGCACAATTTCTAGTTTTTCAATGAATGCTGCTTTTATTATAATATGATTTTAGTCTATAATCTCCGTTAGCTTGCACTAATTTTGTATGAAGCAAGAAAGAAATTCAGTCAAGTCAAAATATATTATAAATAGTTCTGAAAAAAATATTAAAATCATTGAAAGTCTTGTAAGACACAAATGTGTAGTTTCAAGATTAACAGACCACTATAAATTCGTGCTGTACGAAATTTATTTATACTTTAATTGTTATATCTGAAGAGATAGTTACCGTAACAAAAGAATTAAACAAAAAAAAAAGAAGAATCAAATGAATAAACAAATGATTCGTGGCATATGAGATATATAAAGGTCAAAATTTGAATAAGAATTAATACCGAAATATTATTATATCTAATTTTTTGTTTTAATCTAAATATATATTTGAAAGTTAAGAACAATATTATAATTAAAAAAAGCAATTACATAGTTTTTTTATCAATATAAATTATAATATTAAATATTTAATTTGGAAAAAAATTCTATTTTAAAAAAAGACATAAAAATTATTTATGTCTGTCAACAAGTTTTGTCAAATATTTACTTTCTGTAAAACGTTTAAATAATAAGTCTTTATTAAAATCATTAGCTAATCCTGGTCGTTCTTTCATAATTTGTTCAAGTTTTATCAATTCTTGACAATCTTCTCTATTCGGTATTAATTTATCATGATAATCACGTGCTACTGTAAATGCTTCAAAAACAAAATAATCAGTAATAGTTGGTTCCAATTGATCATAATAAAATGATGTTGAACTTTTTTTTAAGTAAATTATTTAATGATTTTAACACATCTGAAATCTTTTTTGCTAAACGATACATTAGATTATTTTCATCAGAATATAACTATGTAAAAGATCTTGATCAACAATGGATGATGTTAATTTACCGTATAAATCAAATTTTTGTTGCTAATAATTGTCCTATAAAAATGAGAATAGAAAGAATTTTATTTTTAATTATCGAATAAACCTATTGTTAAAGTTTGAGTAAAAGTATCTGTATCATTCCAATGAAGTACAGGTAAATTATGAAATTATGTTGTGATCATATTTCATCTTGTTTTTCAAGTAATTCAAAATCTTCTTTATAATCAACATTTCCACGACAATTAAAATAATAAAGTCGAAGTTTAATATTGGTTGATATGATATTTAACAAAAAACAAGAAAAAAAGAAAATAATACAGAATGTGAATGAGATATACAAATAATGTGTTTACCCTTATATAGGCATCGTTTAAAGAAAAGAGTTTTAAAAAAAAAGTGGTGAGAAAGATATGACGAGGTGGGTTTTTTTATTTATTGTGTTTTGTGAAGATGTATGAGTTACCATATTCTATGAGTCATGTAAACTTTCAAACAAATAATTGTTCTTGTTTTTACTTCAACAAAATATTTAACATCAACTAACTTATGTCTGATTATTTTATTCAAATGAACATCAGTCGTAATTCCAAACATATTATCATCACCACAACTACACACTACACTCAAAGACACAAAAATCAACCTAAAATGACTCGAGACAAAAGACAAAATTTCAGGTGTCTCTTCTGTTTAACTTTCATGTTCCAACTTTAAGTCACAATACTATTCGTAGTTAATTTTCGTTGTTCTTTCTTTTTTGTATTATCACATTTAACATCACGTAAGTGAAGCTGGCACCCGGCTCGAGTAAAATTAGCCCCGATTCGACTAGGAACTTGTTCCAAAGTTGCAATTTTCGTTCCAAGTACAACTCAACGAGTTCTATCTTAATGGTGGGCTCAGATTTTCTATAGCTGAAACTATAATTTTCGGCTGATAGATGGCGCTAGTGACGACATAAAAAAAAATTAAACTTTGAGCTACAGAAAATCCAAATATACCATTCGATAGAGCTCATCAAGTTGTACTTGGGAAAAAAGTAGCAACTTTGAAATAAGTTCTTAGGCGAATCAGGTGCCAATTTCACTTACATTTTAACATCCGCAATAAAGCTTTGCATCCAGGTATTAATAAAATCGTATTACATGACTTTTTATCAATTAATAATATCGTCTCTCGTGCAAAAAATCGATAGAATAAAAGACTCATGTTTATTTTATTAATATTCTTAAATACATATATATATGAGAAATATTTAAAATAAAATCTGTTTTCTACATAGTCAACGTATTTGGAACAAAAGGTTTCGTATTAAAAGCAATTCCAAAATTGATCCAAGCAATAATACCAGCTGTTAAATATGTTGGTATACACCAATAATAAAATCGACACAATAATAATGATATTTTTATAATTAATAGACCTGCACAATATAGAACAATATTTGTTTTTGTCTTAGAAAGTAAAGGATGCATTTCAAATAATTCTAATGGTAATGGAGTAGAACAACCATATAGAAATAAAAATAATGCAAATAAATAAATAATCAATGAATCAGATACAAATCGAAATATTAATAAAGTTCCATTTGTTAGAATATAACTAAATAACATAATACTATAACAACATCGATATAAATTAGCACGACAACGTACCATAAAGACACTATAAAGAATAATAAGTGTACCTACACATTGAAGAAATTGGAGACATGAAAATGCTAAAATAAAAAATGGAGCTTTAGAACCATTAGCCAAAATAAATATTAACATAACAAAAATACGATAAAAAAATCCGCGTCGTTGTTCTATTGCTTTTCTAACTGCGTCAATTCCAATTAAATTCGTTGGTACTTGTGATAATTGTCGTTGTTGTTCAAGTAAATTTATAATATTTATACAATTAAGAAATGTTTTCAACCATTGTGTACTGATTCTTTGTTGAATATCTTCTGTTGTTTGAATATTATCATATTGAAATGTTTCTTCAAGTGTTACATCCATTTTTCTTTTAAAACATTCATGAAAATGATCTTTGAAAAATGGTTTTTCAATATAAGTTTGACAAACAGTACATTTAATTGGACGTGAAACACATAATCCCGGTATATCACGATGTTCGTCTAATTTTGATATAAGTACTAATTGTTCACATTCAACACATCGTTCAGTTAAATATTCACATTCAATATTTTCATGTTGTTCTAATAAATTATAAGGTACAATTTTTGTACAACCAAATGAAGAATTTCGACAATGAATATTTAAAGTTGATAAAAATGAATAAATATCTGATGGACAAGATTGTTCTTCGTATGGATCACATCGAAATGGGCATCTTTTAGCGCTATTTGGATTTTTCAACCATGTATTAATACATATTTCACAAAATAGATGTCGACATTTAGCACATGAACGTGGTTTCCATAAAATACATTGGCATACTGGACAAAAATATTCATCAGATACAAGATGTTCGTCAACGATACGATTTCGATCAATATTACCTTCGTCCATAAATAAAACAACTGTTTATTATGAGTAATCGTGAATTTCGCAATGTAATTTCACGTACAGAACACAAGAAAAAAACGTATTTCTTTCGCCGAATGTCTGATTTTATTTTTCTTTTATCTAAAGAAAAAAAATGTTATTACGCATTTGTTGATTACCTTTTATAGTTCTTCTTTTTTACATGGTATGCAGTATGAATAAATTCCAACATGGCAAGTGGGTTATTTCCAGTCGAACAGAGCTTGATTAATCTTCGTCGGAATCGAAAATAAAATCAACTTGTTATGTTTGTCTTAAATCTAACAAGTAACGCTCGTCCGAGGACTCACTCAGCTCTTTTTCGTGGAAATCATATTTCGGAACTACCATGAAACTATTTATTTTGGTTCATTACTGAAGACTAACCTCAAATGCACACACTGTCCATTCTTGACTACCTTTGGTCATCATTTATATAAAAGTCATAATAACTAAACAGTTGTTAATTAATTTGAACTAATCTCGGATTTCAATTTCTGATTCTCGATTACCTTTTAGTGAAGTTTTACAGAAAATATTAATAATTAATAATTAGTTACTAATTAATCAGTTAAAACTAACCTTAGATTCGGACTGCTCACCCTCGATTACCCATTGATGAAGTTTCATGAAAAATATTAATAATTAATAAATGGTTAGTAATTAATAGTTAAACATTAACTAATTAGTTAAAACTGACGTCGGATTCGAACTTCCCACCCTCGATTACCTTTTGATCAGGTTTTATATAAAATATTAATAATGAATAGTTAAATATTAATTAATTAGTTGAAACTAACCTCAGATTCGAATTTCTCACCCTCAATTACCCTTTCGTCAAGTTTTATGGAAAATGAATCCTTTTATTTTGACGTCATTCTTGGACCAACCACTGAAGTGCGCACATACAAGCAAGCAAGCAAGCAAACAATTTAAGCTTGTAAGACTTTTCTCTACGAGAAAGAGAATATTTCTTTCTATGTCCTGAAAGTGTGTAGATTTTGAATTAGTTACCATGAGTCAATTTCATTATAGTCGTCAGCCTCATTCTCAAGAGCTCAATCGAATGGCACGCTATATATTTCTTCTAGTTCGAAGTAAAATATTTTCGATTATAGAACTCGTCGAGTCGTACTTGGAACAAAAATAAGGAGTGTTGTGATAAGCTCTTATACGAATTGGGGCTGAAAATATTCGAATCAAGTGATGAAATTATACTAGAAAAAAACCAGTACTTAACGGTTTTACTCGAATATGATGCTAACTTCATCTGCGTTGAATCATCAAATTGATTCGATTAACAGTAATGTAATATGTACTGAAAGTAATCTGTATAAATTTCTTTATTAAAGAATCATTAATAATAAAAGTATGTCAATCTATATTAAATGGAATAATACACTTCACACTTCTACGCAGTTTTTCTAAAACTTTTAATATTTTAAAGAATTTGTTATTCTAATAGCTTTTTGATTATTTCATGTTTTAATATATGTAAAACAGCTTATATTTATATATCTACTTTTAATAATGATAATATAATTTCATCAAAACGTCAAACAAATAAAATCGCATATGAATTTTTATTTTTCAAAGTTACAGGTTGAAAATGATCGTTTAAAATCGAGAATATAAAAATTGTTAACATTTCAAATTATTTATTATTATTTATAATGTTTTCATTATCGATATAAAAAATATTTTATAAAAACTAGATGAAAATCTTATTGATAAACCAGCTGATGTTTTATCTAAAAGTTTTGCTAAATTAAAATCAATTAAATTATTTTGATAAATTAAATCTCCAACATTAAGTGTATTGCAATTAGTTTTCTGACAAGCAATATACCATCTAGATGAACGAGTTCGATCATTCATATCAAACTCTACTTGATATTGTAATGCGTTTAATACATGATGCATCTATAACTTTCTTTTGAGGTGTCATATTTACTGTAGTTCTACATTGTTTGCAAATTGCTATATTAATTTGTGGTGACAAATCCATCCCATATTCAGTTGAATTCTGAAATAAAAGACATCCTTGATCAGCAAATGTTTCATTAGATTCTAGAAGATATTGAAGTTGCTCTAATTTATTAATGAGTTTTAATGAGTCTAATAAACTTTTCAATTTTACTGGACTATTACATTCATTAGTTAAACATCTGTGTGTTATAATACTAGACCATTCTGGTTCAGATTCATCATAAGTAAAAGAAGCTACAGCTTATAAATCATGACCCATCACGCATGCTCTCTAGTATTGATAACTAGATGCTGCAATTCTAGTTTTCATTAGATTTTAATCCCATTTTATATTCATATAACCATATAACTGCTTAGTTACAATTGTACAATTTTAAAATTCTGTCGGAACTGTTTCAGCTGTAAGTTTATAATCCAAAACGTCTTCAGAACAATCATAACATGATATATCACATAAAACTTGATTGAATAAAGTAAATATAATAAATATATAAATAAGTACTGTTGTGAATAATATTTTTTAAAAGTATAATATATGAAGAGTATTGTTTCTCTGCCTTTTAATATATCTAAGAGATTACTTTTTTTTTCTGTTCTGCAATGTACGTCAGAGAAACGGTAACATGATGATATTGTCATGGCCATTACTAAGTTAAGCAATAACATGTGACATCAGTAACGTTTTGTATAAAACTTAAATTACTTTTCTGCTCTATTTCGAAGATAAAGAAAATAAAATGCAGTCTCATAATGAAGAATCAATGTCTTTTTTGACGACAAACAGTATGCAAAAACATTATTTTTAAGTGCAAATTGTGATTCGTACAGGTGAAGTCATTGGTGGTCCAACCGAGGGTGTAACACCCCCCTAAAAATTGGAAACTTCTATTATTACTTTTATTCACATAAGTCGGAAAATAAAAAATAACGTCATGAATCTACCGATTGTCCATAAATAGCTTGCAATAAAAAAGTTGACTATCTCTACCATGTGTTATCGCTTGAAAGTTGAGTTTTTTCCTGTAAGAATAACATTTATGAATATTGCTTTGAAGCATTAGGTGACTAATAAATAATTTTTCAATAATATTCTTATACATTCTTAAGAAAAAACCAACTCAAAAAAACTTTATTTAAGATATTAAACTGATGTTCATCAGCATCAACGTACAAACTATCTTGTGCAAATCAGAATCTAAACTTCGAAATGGCTTAGACTATAGGCAGGTCAGTTACTGTTTCTTCGAAGAAACAAGGACCGACCATTGCCTGGGATCGGTGTCGTGCCCGCACGGTGCGTCCTTCAGCTTGTATTGACTACTTCCATGTAATATTTAAGCTCTCTGTCACTCAGTAGACTAAATTATGATGACCTATGGCGTAAATTTTTGCGAAAAAAAGGCGTTCTGAAAACGCGTTTTTTCATAGCTGCAAAACGCGTTAATGCTGGCCGGTTTAACGCGTTTCACATTTGCTAAAATAAACGTTGCGAAACGATTTTTTCTTAAAATCATTTCGCAGTGTTTCTGAATCTGTGGTATTGCATACTTTGAAGGATAGAAAAAAAAACCCGTCAAGTACTTCGTAGAACTCAACTTGCAGGTGCGATCTATATACTGATTTACATTAATTCATAGAATTATAGAGTTAACTTACATTAGTTTCGATAAAGTTAAGAGGTGGATTCGAACAGGAGAACATAAGAATAGACGATATGTATACAAACCGTTCAACTAAAATAGTCAAATGATATAAATGTTTGCTCTATTCTTATTTAGATGTCTTGTACAAATTTATGATTCGAATAAATTTTGTTTCACGTCTGAATGAATCGATGAAAAATGATATTCTTTTTACTGGTTTTATCCAAGGAAGAGTGTCATTTTCCGTCAATTTATTTTAAATTTAACTTTTAGAAATTTAAATTTGTAAAACTTTATTTTTTTAAAGTTTAAATACCCAATTAAAATGAATTTAATTCCATATAAATTGAATTAAAAATTTTAAAAAAATTAAATTTCGTAAATTTAAATTCAAAAGAACTGTAATCGTAATTTTGCAAAATTTACAAAGTTTTTGTTGAATTGAATGTTTTTTTTGTAAATGTAAATCCATGATCAGTAAATCCAAGTGCAATCATAACAACAAAAATATTTTTTCTGTAATTCGAACCTCTTTTATCAACAAGCCGCACTTACATACATCGATAGTGTACGAACGAAAGTGATATTCTAGTCATGTTTCGGAGAGTATATAACCAGTTACTATAACGCAGTCCATACATAAATTATCAATAATTATTATTATAAATCGTAAATTATCCGAAAATACTTTTTTCACACAACAACATTCAGCTGTCCTACGGATTATTTTTGCATCAGTCTTTACTGAATTTCTTCA